GGCTTGTTTCCTTTCCGTGTTAGCAGATTAACTTCTCCGTTTAAGCGCTTTCTCCACCTCCCACTTAAGCGCTTAATTTCCCGTGTCACGATATCGGAGTCGCCTTTAGCAGAAACCTGGGTGACGGTTATGGTGCCACATGCTATCACGTTTATCGTCTCTGTCCCCTTTGGGTATTAACGAAAAACCAAAGTCCTGTTAATCGCGTATTGCACAGGGCTGGTTTTCTTGTTTTTTTTTTTTCTTTCTTTCTCCTCTTAGCGTTAAAACGCGAGTTTCCTTCCTGAACTAGAGGGGGGAACGTAATCCGAGGCCATTTGAATTGTGCCAGTTATTTGTAGGTGTTTTCCTCTCCTCCCACACACCCCAAAAACGAGTAAATACCCTCCCCGCAGATAGCCCAGCCTTATACTGTGATCAGATCTGGCCATTCACCTCCTCTTCTCCGCCTACAAAATTCTCTGTCTCTGTCACCCGGGTCGCTATTTGTCATTGGCTTAGCTATTTTTTGGTGGCTGTTTCTATGTCATTTCTCGGTGGCCAGCAGCTCTCGGTCTTTCGTAGCTTGTAAGCGTGATCGTGCTTGTTGTGATAAGCAATGAAATCACTCTCGCCGTGTATCTGATGAGCGATTACCCCGCTGCACACGCATAATATGTGACACTGTGCCTTTTCCTCCACGACGCTGTTTAACCCTCTCGGGACTGGGTTTGGCGTGGGCGCTCGCCTTTCCGAGTTGCGCACACGCGAGACATCTTTTTGTTGCAGCAGCGGCTCGGTGGGAGCGAAGGCAGGGATAATAACGTGCCGTGGGGTGGACGAGCCACAGACAGCGCTAGGCGCGCAGGAGCTGCCAGGCCATCGGGCTCTTTCCCAGATGCGATTGCTAGCGCTACTTTTTATTCCTCTTCCTACTTCCCTATTCGCTTTCGGCCGCCGAAGGTTTTTTCCGAGGCAGGGAGGCGTATGGACGTCTTACCAAACGCTGTTTGATCCCCGGGCGCTCGGGACTCCCATGGAGCCGGTGGGAGCGTAGGATGCGCAAGGCAGGCGGCATCGGGCCCCGCTGAGGCGCCCGTTCAGAGCCCACATCCCTCCGCGCCGCACCCCGGCGCGCTGCGCCGAGCGCCCTCGCCACCGAGAATAACGAGTTAACCCAATCACGTAGGAGGGACGTAAGGAAGAGTTGGGGTGCAGAAGTGCTGCACAAAAGATTTCTGTGTACACGGCTGCAAGCTTGTAGCCTTAAAGTGAAATGCAAAACTTAAGCGTTTCCAGCATGGTAACTGGATTGTGATTCAAGGTATTTTCTGTGTAGTGCAGAAACACAATAGTGCAAGAAGATTTTCCTGTCTCGAATCCTTAAGGTTTCCTTGGGTTCTTTTAATCTAGTACACAAATTCCACTTCTTTCAGTCCCTTTTCCTTAGGAACAGCTGCTTCGATTGTCTCTACGGTTTATTACCTTTACGTCCTCACAACTAGAAAATTCAGTTTAATCTCTGAAATTGCGATACTAGTAAGATCCTACTGAAATTTAGCACTTATTTCTTTAGCTTTACATCATTATTCCCAGACTGTTTTAGGAAACATTTTTAACAGTTACTGTGGGAATGTGTACAAAGCTGTTTCGTTGTAGCTGTGTACACTTTGAAATATCAGCATTTGAAAAGATTTACACTATTCAACAGTGGAAGTAAACTTACAAACACTGACTTTCACTTTCAAGGAAATAACTGTCCTGACTCATAGTTCATTTAGAAAAATTATATAATTCATTACTGTACAGGTGCGTATACTCCCCCCCACTATTTGACGATCTTGTTCGATAGCATGCAGTTTATGCCTATTTTTCATTTTAATTAAAATCTGTACTTAGTTCATACTTGACTATATCACAGAACTCTTCCTTTTAGCTTTTTTATTTCTCAGCTGCACCATTCCCATATTTTACAATTACATAAAGGTGGGTGTGGCTAAAATGAAAGCAGTAAGCAATCTAATATCAATATATGGTGTATGCTAAGTAGTTTTTGCTTTCCTATATTTGATGTACCCCTTATTTTGAGGTATTTGAGAAAAATCATGTAGCTTAAATAGACCCTTGTAGAACTGCTTGCATTTTTCACCTTAGTTAAAATGTCAAACATTAACTGGGGTTACTTGGCCCTGGAAAAGTTACATTCAGAGGAAATACCAAATGAACTTAAAGATCTAAACATATGTATTTATATTATATCGATAAATGAAAGTTAAGCAATAGTCTACTAGTCATATCACTTTAGGTGTACCTTGTAGCATAGTAAATTTATTATTTTTTAAAAAATTTTCTTTTCAGTCTGATCCTTTGTCTTGATTCTCAGAAAAACATTCAAATAAGCTTCAGTTGTCCTCTTAAAAAAAAAAAATCTAAGTTTTACTGAAAGCTTCCAAGCAATATCCTTTCTTTTTTATAAATATAAATCTACTGAAGCTTGAAGTAACTTTGAAATTTTTCATTTTCAAAAATAACAGTAATTTGAAAGTG